TTAATTTGGAATTGCGAAAATATGAATATTTTTAGCCATTTAATATATTTCTGTAACTGGAAGTATATGACTATGACTAACAATTGAGAAAATAAAAGCCGGGTAAGGGAAAAGAGTAGATATATATACAAACCAGATGTTATATCCAGTCGCATATACAAAATTTCAATGTTCCACGGTAAACATTTTTGACTTATACGAAATACATACGCACGTACCTACAGACGAGAAAATCCATTTTACTTTCCGTTTTGGAGAACACAATCTTTTATTTTGTCCGTACACACATCACGTAAAAAAATAATCACTGAGAACGGGAAAAATGCATATTTTCACTGAAATACGATACCCGAAATTTTGAGCGATTACATTATTTCCTTTACTTCGTATGAGAAAATAAAAAGGCTTCAATGAAAAACATTTTATCATAAAAAGCACTATCACATTCTACAAAATAATAACAGTCTCTACTGATAACAGATACATTAACTCAGTCTTTTACAGTCAAGAAAAACATTAATGTTGCCAAATATTAAGACGTAAAAGTATACAATTGTATACAAATACAATTATACCCATTTTTTTGCTGGACTTCATTTAAACTTATTTCCCCGATTCTAACTTAAATAAGGCTTGAGGTTAGTTCATTTTAACTTAACGAACCTCAAGGCAAGTTGAAAATTATACGGAATTTTATTATATCAATTATAATTAATTTATTATTATGAATTATTATATAGAATATTATCTGAAAATTATGCTACGTTTACATTACGCTTTTGTTTGATAGACAGGAGATTAATTATCTTTACCAAATTTATTTCACTTCTTCGATATCTTTTACTTATTCTAATTATCCATAATAAAAAATTTTGTAAACTTTAATTCCTTATTAACCTTTATTGGAGTTGGTGCATAAATTACATTGTTAATCAGGTTTAACTTTTGACTTCAATCTGAAATTCTTAACTTTTTGGCTAAATATGCACAATTTAATAGGAGTTATATTTATTTTTAATTCCTTTACATAATATTGTTGCGTTATTTTCTCCCTTCACGTTCGTACGGGGTTCGTGTGAATTTTGAGTGAATAATGACGACACTTGATGATGAAGTATCGAAACACACTTTATCGGCCAGTATTGTCAAGACAACTCCAAAACACGTTTTGACAGTCGTCGATGAACTACTATAAACACGCTGACATAATAAGCAACACAGCGTTCAGGTTATCAGGCTATAACGGAGGCAGCTTCACTGCAAAGCACCAGAGTACAGCTCCCGACTCTGCTCGGTCGTTCTCGGACTCCACGTACTCTCGAGACTCTCCAACAACTCGCGATGCACTCGACGACACATAGAGCATGGCTCCCGACTCTTTGGTTCAGTCGTTCCCGGAGCTCAACACGCTCTCTCGACGATGCACTAACCGCGATAAACTAAGAGACTCCTTCGGTGAATTCGACGACCCACTCAGCACTCGCTGCCTGGCTGTCAACTCGATCGACTCCGCAGGGATTGACTCGCTAGACGAAACACCAACTCGATACTATCTCGCACTCTATGCGAGGCACTCTGACTCGCTCTCTCGACGAGGCACACACTATCAACTCGCTAGACGAGACACTCACTCTCGCACTCTATGCGAGGCACACACACACTCACTGACTGCTGACCAGCAGGGTTTATATAGCATTCGGCTTGTGTTCAAGAACATTCTGGGCTAAACCGGTAAGAATTCGTTCCAGAAGGCTCTCCAAATATGACATAATAAAAGCAAGGAAAAGACGGAGCATTGTTGATGCCTAATACATACGATCGTCGATCAGTATTGAAGAGGAAGAATTCTGATTGCGTAATATGCTAATATGTTTGAGTTGGTAATATCTAAAAAAATTGGCAGTCGAGGGGGTTTTAATTCCATTTTTATTTTCTAGTTGACGTTTCTGGCCACAGTTCACTTAACACTCTAGTTGTGCCTATCCAAGAATATTTACATTTTTGGTATTGTTGCAATAGGTACACAGCAGAATGAAACAGCGTCGAAGCAGCACCGAGGAAAGAGCAGAAGTGCGTAGTCATGGAAGGTGGAAGCACATGAAGAGAAAAGTTTTGGTTTGAGTTAAAAAGCTTCAGTTTCCAATTATTCATCAGCGCGGCTCAGGCCATGCAAAAAAGAAAGATGTAGAAATGACGCTGTTGAGAGAAGTTATTACGATTTTTAGAACTGAGAGAGAGAATTAAAGAGTTACCATTAGTTTAAATTATAATTTTGATTCACATATTTTTTATCTTACATATGCCCCCCCCTTCCCTTTAAAGAGAAAAAGGCTTCTATTAATAGAAAAGCCTTTTTAGAAGAAAGCATTACAGAATTAGCGAAATAAAGGAAATACAATAGTGGGAAAAATCATAGAATTTGATATAAATAATTTTTAAAATAAAAATTCTTGTAAATATCATTTTTAACAATAGTTCGCGCCATTTTACGTCAGACAGCTTTTCTCCTCCTGCCGCTAACAGACCTTTGCTGTCGCTCTTCCGTCTGTCTTTTTTTGTCTGAATAGTAAGACGCAGTAAATTTAAAGTTAATCCTATTTAGTTTAATTTATTATCGCATATGTAATCTTGGAGAATCTAAAAGAATAATGATTTGCCATTTGAATTGAATAAAGATGTGCAATTAGAAGCTAAATCCTTCGGTGCCATCATTCCTGCTAAATTCCACTCCGCCAAACAACTCACGGTTTAAACAACCGTTTAAATCTTCCTTGAAACGCATAGTGGTTTATTATACAAAAAAGCAATCTAAAATTAAATTCAAAACCGTAATTACTTTAGGGAAGTATTGTATCGCGCCCTCCAAGACTCGCCTGATAATTTTCTACTTACAGTTGATTACTTCATCAAATATTAGCATATGAACTTTCTGATTTTTCTTAGCTTCGATTCGAATGAAATACAATAATATCTATGGATTTGAAATAATCAAACACAACCGTTGAGAAACTAACGCAGAATCACAGGGCAAACGGCTAAATATGATGAGATGGTTTGAAATGAGGATATGAAGTTGCATTGATACCAGAAAAGAGAAATCAAAAGAACGGAATGGTCAGCACGACTTAACCGCGATATGGAAGTAGAATTGTTTACCTAGATACTATGTTCCCTAATTATGAGATTAATTACTTCACCAAACATTTTTTTTATTTCTGAAATTAAGGAAATATAAATAAAGCTACTAGAAACAAACAATGCTCTACCTAGATACTAGCCCCAAAGAGTAACCAAAACTTTTTTTTTTTTTTTTTTTTTTTTTTGTTAACTGCTGTGGTTTAAAAGTTTAAAAGCAATTCAAACAAAGCGGGCCAAATTTACTGATTTTGATTTCATATTCTATCAATACTTTACAGCAGGTATTTTAATGTATGGAAAGAATAATGACACATAAAAACGTAAGGGAATTTCTTGAGATACTTAATCTGATTTAAAATTTAAATGATTAAATAAATTCATGTAAATTTCTTTTAATCCCGCTCAAAATTAAACTTTCTGATTTAATTTGAATTAACTAATAATAAAAGGAAGTTTACTTTTTAAAGTAATAAGAAGTATTATTCCAGAGCATACTGAGTCTAAATAACGTCATCAGCAAGGCCTAGATTTTGATGACATGCATTTTTTTGCAGGTTCTGCATGTTCTAAAAATTTTCCTCTTTTAAAGATTTTTTTTAATTTGTAGAGTATTCCTGCAGCGTTTAATATATGCTCGCAACCAAACTGAAAAATAAAGTTATCCTTGAAGTAAACTGAACTCCTATGAACTCATTTTTACTAGGCAGGCATATCCTATCCACACAAAACTGGTTATGTAATCTAATTAGTCCTAGCTATCACGGAAAGCTTTCCCAGGTTATGAGAGTCACTTCTAAGAATTTTTCCTTACCAGTATTTCTTAAGGGGACTCATACACCTTAAAACCCACAAGATGTTCGAATAGGTGACTGTTGCAAGAATTGGGACAACTTATTTATTTTAAAAGCAATTGCTACCAACTTTCTACAGCTGACTACATAACATAGCTGCTTTCTAAAATAGTAATCAGAAAGTTTGTGTTGCCATAAATAATTTTGTAATTTAATCCTCTTTGTGACATCATTTTTCGTCATGTTTCCAACTTGCGAGCACAGTTTAAAACATTCTGTTTCATAATTTAATTCCATATTTAATATATAGCTTTTATAACATTTGGAAACTACTGTGAACCTAAAATCTAAAAATTTCATGTTAAATTTTATTTTATTTTGAGTTGAGTTTATAAATGTATTTTATTAAAAAAATTTAATGTTTTCTTCCATAAAATTTTTCAATATTAAAATATTCATCAGATTGTTGGTTCAGTTAGAAAATAGTTGCCCATATAAAGAATTTCATCCAATTTCCAAGTATGTACCATTAGCCCATTTTTAAAATATCATGCGCGCAAGGTGGAAACATGGCGAAAATTTTGTCACAAAGAGGATTAAATTACAAAATATTTGTGGCAACACAAACTTTCTGGTTACTAGTTTCCAAAGCAGCTATATTATGTAATCAGCTGTAAAAGGTTGGAAGTAATTGCTTTTAAAATAAATAAAATATCCCAATTCTTGCAACAGTCACATATTCGAAGATCATGAGGGGTTTAAGGTGTATGAGTCCCCTTAAATCTGTAAGAGATTATGTGTAAGTTCAGTTTCATAGAATTACATGTAGAAGAAGCAAAGCTATTCCACAGACACATTCTTGGAATAATACATTTAACAGCTGGGTGCGATTCGTTTACCTACCTCCATTAAATTTCCTTTATTGTCTTTCTTTGTTCACTGCTATAGTCCTGCTTCGATTCAAATTACATAGAACTTTTTTTGAAGTGAATTTCCAATAATTTTCTATTCATTAAAAACTGTGTTAATGCATTACGAAAATTACAATGAAATAGCTTTCGTAGGGCTTACCTGAAGAAATGCTCCTTAAATAAGTCCCTCGCTCTGTAGAAACGTTCCTTATCCAGCCATGGGGGTGGCTGGTCAGTAGGACTCCCAGAATCACCTCTGGCTTCAGCACCTTCCCGAAGTTCATGTAACCTATCAACTGCGGCTTCCGGTTCTTCCGGCTTAGCGTTCGGTGACATTTCGATATTAACTCTCAGTCTTTCAGATTCTCCAGTCCTCGATTCCTCAGTTCGATCCAGATTCTTGGCGGGGTTTTGCAGTTGTCAGAAAGAAGAAATTTTTTACTGTTTTATATCTGCAAAACAAATTGAATTTTCAAAGGTTTTCCTTACAAGACTGTAACACAAGACTGCTGGATAGCAAGCAGTACTTGAAAAATACTCAGAAGAGTTTTAATACACATTTAGAATTTACATGCCAGATGGCTTAAGGAGATTTTACATTTTTATCCTGAAGTATGCATCACATACGAAAATGCAACAGCGGTCATAACTGGATAGAAGTATATCAGAATGTATTGTTTGCATAGCATAAAAATATGACGGTACATAACATGAATAAATTTAAGTTTCTGTGTGCAAAGCAATAAATATTTGTACTCTGTATTTCTCCATGTGCTCACTGTTTACCCATCCTAATTCGCTTAGGGTCCAAACAACATGGTTTTACAATCTTTTTTTTTCTCCTAGAGAATATCATGTGTGTTTCTGTACCATCATCTTTTTCAATAAAAGTGCTGAGCACATTTTAACTTAAAATGAAATTACTCATCCTTTCTCTGAATAACTGATTACGAATTTATAGGCTCGTTAGACCAGATTTCACCAGTTAAGCATAAAATGTCTACCACACCATTTAAAGGAGAGACTTTTTGCTGTTGACAGACTTTACAAATCTGACCAAATAATCGCAACGCAACCTTCATTCGGTAAAACCACCTTGATTGCTTCTCCTTTTTTAAAACAAAGAAATTTGCAGGAATTTTTTAAATTAATTTTTCTTTCAAAAATTAATATAGATCTCAATATCTAAGGAGTTCTTGCCAGAGAAGTTGTGCTTAACCGTTAATACACAAAGATAAAACTTTAAGCTAAAGTTCAACAGATTTGCACTTTGATATTTTACTTTCAATTTAGAAAAAAAGAAAAGAATTTTCTGGATAGCAGTTTTCTGTTCTTTTATTATAATTTTTAAGCAACAGTATAAAGAAATAAACATTTCCTTGTTTCAGTGGATGCTAATGAGATTCATTAACGTTTAAAGACGAAAAATTAGTTAATTTCCTTCAAAGAGGACAATTTAATCTAATATTAAAGTTATTAAAATATCAATCAATGTTTAATAATCTTCGTTTAAGAAATTTTTATGTTTTCGATTTTAAAAACTGGGAATCCATTAAGTAATGTAAAACTAATAAAAACTTTCTAGGGTATTAAGCTTAATAATATTGACATTAGCATTTTTAAGAAAATCCTGAACCTTGAGAAAAACCATAGCTTAATTTAAAATAATAAAGTTTTTTTACATTATTTCTTTGACAAATTATAACTTCTTGTTAAAAATGAAATTAATTACTAAAAAATTGTATTAATCATATATTGGACAGAAATCGTATTTTAACTATTCAGTATTAATTGAGAGTTAACAGCACTTTGAAAGAAATTCAGATTTATAAATTCCCTGAGTTTATCTCAAAATAATTCAATAATTCGTTAACTAATGTCAAGTTAGACGAATGTTTTCACTAATAATGTTTAATATAAGTAATTACTACAATTTTCTCTTTCTGTTCTTTTATCCTCCCCAATAATACCTATGTTCACATGTGTACTTTAATGCGGCTATGTTTTTGAATCAAAGACGAATTAAAATTAATATTATTTTATTAACTTGTTTCCATCTAAACACGAATCTAAACTTCTAGACTATCGGATGAATCATGTTGTCGATGCATCTTTCAGTACCAGTAAGCAATTAAAAAAAAAACTAAAGATTTAATCGAACTTCAAAAAAGCTCACAGCATAAAAAAAAAAAAAAAAAAAAAAAATGGTTTAGATTTTGAATTACGTCCAAAGGGGCGTTTTTTTAACGTTTTGTGTGTTACCTTTACTTATTAAATATCATGTTCTTTGCACTCCGTTCGCTGGACATAAAAAAGTCTTTTTTTCCAGTAGAGTGTTGCCATTTCTGGCTTTTAAACCGTTGAGTTTATTACTCAAAAATTCGTGTAAGTTTTATAAAATAGGAAATCGATAATAAAACAAATTCCAAATTTCAAATTTGGTCTTTCACATGCACATATTCGTAGGAGGATTACGTCATTCAAAATTCGATGGCTCTGTGTATTGTTGTTTTATCATAATGCGAGAAATATACATACATGTATGCATATTTTTCACTGTTTAATTTCTTCAAATATAATGCAGGACTCGAACATTTGGTGGCAACAGTTTGAAAAGTGAAACGGACATTTATAGTGATTCAACGCAAAATCGCAAAACGAAAACAATAGTCCTTCAGGGGCAAAGCTCCTTTGGACTTTTAAAAAAAAATTAAATTCTCTTCTTGGAGGAATCAACAAACAATAATAGTTCAAAGTATTTACGACTTAAAGTTTAAATTTAAGGCCTAACAACCTAACTCTGGTACTTGACGACTACTAATTTAATTCCAAATAAATACACTCATCATTTCGTCGTTACAGCGGCGAAGGCAAACAGTAACAAAGAAGAATCACCACTGCAGGCTGATGTTGTCAAGTCTCCCTTTCTTAGTTACTTTCTCCTGTTTAAAACTCATTTCGTGTACATATTACGGATCAGTAGACAAAACAGCAGAAATATAGGAAATATTTAACATAAAAAGCTGCAATGTTTATTTTAATTTACCGAAGAAAAACGAATTACGACTCAATTAAAATTAACTTTCCAACCACATTAAGTGAAAGGAAAGAAACAGATGTATGCTAATCAGTTTGAGTTAAATTCAGCATCTGATTGGAGCTGAGTTACCATTCTTTTGATCTAATCACTCCTTTATTTCTTCTTCTGAATATCTAGAAAATTATTGGTTACGCTGACATTTAATGACTCCTTTATTTGTAACTATGCGATTCCTTTACATTCTAAGAATTTAAGTATTCTTTCAATTTCCTCGTTTTAAAAGATACGGATAAACATTTTAGATGCGTATTAATTAATTAACGAAACGAAACAAGACAATAATTTTTAAAATACTTTTTCACCCTCCTGAAGTATAATCGAAGCAGATTTGAAACTGTGAAAATTGAAAGTATATTTATTATTTCTACAGAAATATTATTAATTATTGGTGTAGACTTATTATTTTTATGTTGTTAAAAAAAAGACTATTTACTTAAAAGTTTTTTTTTATTTTTTTGATTTTTTTGATTTCGGAACGCAACATGGTATAATAATAATATTAAAAGAAATCTGTCTACGCTATAATGCATCTAATGTATGTCTAAAAAAATACAGAGTGATTCAGAAAGAATAATCCAATTTCAAAGTTTTATAGTAATTAAAATGTTGCATGTTTAAAAATTAACTGAATAGAATAAGAACTGTTATTGCTTCTAAAAATTAAAAAAATCTGAAACTGAATGATTGATTCTGAATAAACTAGTGAAACGACCAACAACATGAATAAAATTATTGTATACGAAAAGAATAAATAAGTGTCTACGCATATTTCTTTGTTTTCATTGGAACAAAATATTTAAAATTATTTTTTTGCCAAACTGAGATAAAATTAAAAAAAAACATTATTTTATGTGATAATACGAAATATTAAACACGCAGTGAAATTTTTGTCTTGATTTCTATTGCAACAGCCTTATTTTTTCAAAGGTATTTGTAAGAAAATAACACAGTTCAAAGAGAAAAGTTTTTTCATCATCATGTTTATTATAACAGATTAAAATTAGGAGGAAAATTAAACTAAATTTTTTTACTATAATTATATTCTTGATTTACTACATTTTCGATTTTGAAAATATTCTGTTTTTTAAAGAACACAGATATATGAAAAATGAATGACAGCTTACTAAAACTTCATTTGCGTGAATGAATTCATAACTTACTAAAAACTTTCGCGTGAATAAAATTGCATGCGAAAGTTTAGTCATAAAAAATATTTTTAAAGGAATAAATCAAAATTGAAAGCGAAATTAACATTTTATATTCCTTATTTTTTAGGTAAGCATTTTTTATCCTATCCGCAAAATACCGTTTAGTTACTCTCAAAATTCTCAGAAACAGACTCACCCATTTTTTTTCCTTTTGTTTTTAAATATAAGTATTATAAGATGCAAGTTTTGCACCAGAATTACTAAGATACAGTAGGCAGCTTTACCACATAATAACATTTTCCCCCAAAATTTTAACAGAAAAACTTAAGCTATTATTTAAAAAAAGTTTTATTTAAAACTATTATTTTTAATGTCACGATACCGAAATATTTTAGGTTCGGAATGTTATGATCAATACCTTCCTGTTAATTGTAAATTAATTTGTACGAAAAGCAAAATCATACAAAATAAATAATTAAGAATTAATTTTTGGACACTGATACCCAATTTCAAAGAAAATATGTAACTGCAATTTTCTACGAGCAGTTACTTAAAGCGCTAGAGCACATATAAGCACGTGATGAAAACATAAATAAAATTAAAAAAAAAAAAAGACTAGAATGTTTTCGGTTTGCTAATAAGGGACTGAGTTTTCAAAAAGAGAAAATTGAAGTCGCATTCTTTCAACCTTTTTTTAAAGAGAAAAATTAGAAGAAAAATATTGTAATCTCAAAATTTTAGATTACAATCTAATTTTTAACAGTTAAAAATATACTTAAAATTATTATTGTAATAAATCATAAGATTTTCGTGGCGTCTGTACGAACGTATGTGCGTACGTGAGTACGTACGTACGCATCTCGCATAACTCAAAAACGAGTAGCCTTAGAACGTTGAAATTTTGTACATAGGACTGCTATAACATGTAGATGTGGACCGCGTATAATTTTGGTTGCGATCGGCCGCACAAAAAGTATATAAATATATTTATATATATATCCACTCTGTTACCCGGCTCAGTGATCTCAGTTTCTTTACTCTTATATGTTTATAAATTGTACATTTTTTGCCTTAAAAATAATTGAATTATGTTGTTTTTATCTTCCGGTTAAGGTTTTTACGCCTTTCATAAATCTGTATGCAATATTTTTAGAATTATCAACAATTTTAAAGTTGTTTAAGTGCCGCTAAGCCTTTTTTTTTT